CTAAAGTCTAAATTTAAAATTCAAAAATATATCTTATTAAATATTAATACTTAAATTAGAAACTAATTATATATTTTAATATCAACATTTTAAATTTTGAATTAAATTTTGATTAAATATAATGACATAATTTAAAGTTAAAACTCTAATTTATTTTGATATTTTTTCATATATGTAACTTATAAATTAAGTAGTATTCTTAAATGAATTAGTGTCCGAACTAATTTTTTTATCTACTAATTCTTTTCTTAAATTTAATCATTTTAATCAAATTTAATTGTTTAACTTTTTTAAATAGAGGTGATCTAACTAAATTATCTTCTTCTTCCTTTTTGTTTCATTCCACATTAAATATTAATATTGGAATTTTATTCTTATCAAAAGAGATAAAAATATGTTAAAATTTTATTTAATTATAAGTATGAATAAAAATAAAAAGATAGATTCTAATTATTATAATAATTTATTTTTAATAATTGTTGAGGGATGAATTTGTATAGTTGCAAAACCAATGACATGTGCGGATCCATATCAGTAAGGACCCACAACGCTCATTTCTCACATTGAACGTGTAGTTCCTATTTTCTACTAATTGCTGCAATGGAATCAGTATCGCCAGAAACGACACTCATGCACTTTGCTAGAGATATCGCAGAATGTAACCTACTCTAGCACCTATTTTCAAATACATGGCCAGACATAACTAGATCTATTTCAGTGACATGGCTGGGCATTTCTTGAAGATCATTTCCTTTGTAATGATATTCACTGTTGTATCCTACGACTCCCAACAATGGATAAATAGCCTACTTTACTACATGACTCTTGTCAAAGGACAACAATCTGATTTGCGTAGCTCCCCGTGATGGGCAACGAGCCAAGCATCTATTTTTACATATCTCTATCATTTGTTCCCATCAATGGACAATGGAGTAATCCTATTACACCTATATAACTTCCAGCGATGGACAACGGGTCAGATTTACTATCTCATCTAGCCTCTAGTAATAGGTAATAGGCTATGCATTTCCACATATCTTATTACATCGGCTCTTAGCAACAGACAAAGGGTTGGATTTCTACATATTCCATCTCACTAGCTTCCGGAGATGGACAAAGAGTCAGTGCAACTCGGTACGATTAGCGTTAGGTCGGTAACAGTTGTAACCTTGTGATTAGATGGGATGGCTACCCTCCAGCGATAAAAATCCATTAAGTAGCGACTAACGGTCCCTTGGTGGTCGCCCATGCATGATGGTGCAGTGCCTGGCGAGCAACAACAACTAAGACCCCCTCTGATAGTGCGTGTACGGCAATAATGGCCAACGTTTGTCAATGGTATCACACTTTGTCATATCGGAAGCCATGGATGCGGCTGGCATCCCCCTTCCATGGAGACAACTCCACCTTTCTCTATACATATTCATCGCTATGGCGGAGTTTGATTTAATAAGATTTACCTCTTCACGGCTTGGTGGATTAGTGGGAGTGCTTTTCTGATTTCATATAGTTCACGCTCCAACGATGGGTAAAGCTAGCCACTATTATCCCTCTAACTATGTGAAAGCTATTCATAGCTCACCCCACAACATGTAATGGCCAGAGGTCATGCACATTATCACTCTTCTACACAAAAGACCAAAATTATCGATTGTTAGTAATCTTGACTCATAACACATATTTTCTATGTCTTATGTGCTAGCAGATATCGTTGGCCAACAAAGCTTGGTTTGGGACAACAATATCGCAGTACACACCCATGTCACTTGTTCCTCATTCTGGTGCAATGTCAGCCATGTACAACAACAATATACTGATGCCGGCCATGGCCAGCAAACAAATGAGAGCAGCGAATATTCATCCACATAGTCCCTTTCAACACACAAGGAAGTTTCCTTCTTCGTTGCATATGCCTATATATTTCTTATTCTTATTCTTAAATATTTGAACATATTCACATGTGCCTTGCTATTACTACAAATAAACACAAGCTCATGAATCCAAACTCATGGGAATTACTTGGAATAAACTATGGGAGTAGTGGCTTGGCAGGCATGGATGGGTGAACGTTGTCTGTCTGGCGAAGCAAGGCATCCATGCCAGTGAAGCTTGGCGTTGGTGATGTTGCCCGACTTCTCTAGAAAGGCTTAGGTGGCAAAGACATGAGAGCAAACTTGATTCTTAGAACAATACCATTTGATGCTAACCAAATGTTGGAAATCCTGTTAAAAACTGACCAGAGATGCTGTCTTGGTCACCATCAACAACTTGCAGCCATATTTAATGCAGAGGTGGCTGCATAAGTTCCATAGCCTTGGAAACTGTTGCAAAATATTACTATTTTCTCGTAGAATCCTCCAAAATCCTGTGTAGAGCTTGGGGAACCTACCAAATCCTGTGCAGGTGTTGTTTTTGCCGGTTGCACTCAAGCACCTCCCTAAAAATGGGATTTCATATGGCTGAAGGCATTGCAAGAAATATTCAATTTCCAGTTCTTCACCGAAACCAGCAAAGTTTCGATAGAACCATTAGGCAATTCATGATGCCAATGTCATAAAACTGCCAACAGAGCCGGGAGCCACCGAAAATTCGACAGCTCACCTAAACCTATTTGGACACCTCTAAACCATCAACCAGAAATTACAACAATGCTACTACATATATATATATATATTATTTGCCCGTCATTTTCCAGAAAGGCGCATACAGCACAAAAAACGGATTGACACACAACTTTAGTCTTTCTTCCTCACTTACCAAAACTCCCACTTTTCCTCTAAAAAAATATCCCATCTTTGACCTACTGCCCTACACACTAAAAACCACCCAAAAATCACCATTTTTCTTTGATTTCCTATGTCTCCAACTCTGCAGAACATTTTCTAGCACTGTAGAATATCACCCAGCATCGTAGAATATTTCCAGTTTTGTAGAATGTTACGGTTGGGAAACATGCTGCAGTTTCAGCTTCCAGGTACTTCTTCTTGAGCATCAGACGATAAAGGTTGCAAGGTTAGCATAAAAAACAAGATCAAGTGCTCCATTCGTAAGCTCCCAAGCGGTCACTCTTCCTTCTACCATCACAACTCTCAAGTTTATTCTTTTGTCTTTGGAAGAATTTCAAGAGTGGAGTTGCTGCACTTTTCGTTTTCAATATGAGGATTGTTTGTTATAAAGTAAAGATATACACTAGAGATGAAAGATGTAATATTTATTATCATTATTATCATGTTACAATGATATATGCATAAATGTTATCTTCAAGTTGTAATCTTTAAACCACATGTATTTTCCATCTTTACTGTCCCTCCTTAACAACATACAACTTCTCTCCATCATGCTTTTAATAGTTGTGTAATCATCTTGAACCCTTGGAGTCCTGCCATTATTGCCCAGCTCTACCGACTTGGCAGGAAGATTTATCTTATTTTAAAAAGCTTCGTTGGGAAGTGCACCCTGAGATATCATTGGCCAACATAATGGGATGGCTCGCAATATGTAGCCTTTTGCACATGAGATGGGTGTCGCTGAAAGAACCTCCCCTCATTTTTTCGAGTGTTATCCTAGTCAACCTCCACATCGTCGCCACTGCTGACTCATCCATCTACATCATCAACACCTCCGAACAATAATTATAAATAAATAAAATAAGATAACTAAATTGACTTGAAGGAGTATTTTTGAGCTAGTCAACTGAGCCACCATGCTATTTGTTATGCGCAATTAAAGCCAAGGTTGACGAAAATGGCTGCGTGAGAACGTTTTCTCTGCAATGTCTTATTCAATTTCATTATGATACATGGAAGCTCATATTAAAAATGTGAACGGGAAGAAAATTCCTATCATTGCTTCAATTATCTGAAATGGCAATTGTCTTTCATTTTCAACGAGATTGTCACGACAAATTACACATACATCGATGGCGTGTCAAAATTTGATACTGTTTGTACACGGCAAAAATTTACATAACGTTGTTCATGACCAAGACTTTCTAACTCTCAAAATGCTTAAATTCATTTTAACTCAAGACTCTAAACATTGTTTTGTTTTTGTATTATTTTGTTACCGTTTAAAACACTTACTCTTCATTTGGATTGGGAAAATTAGAGGAAAAAGGGAGAAGATTACTGGAGAGATATCTTTTTCTCATATTTGGATTATTAATTTTAATAGAGAGGAGGGAGATAAAAGGGAAATATAATTTTTTTTACTATTCTGTTTTTAATTTTTCTAAATTAGAGGCATACGAAGGAATTGATGCATTTATTTTTGAAATTTTCTTTAAAAAATAAATATATAAAAATATTTTATATCAATTAATAAATTTTAAATATTTTATTTTATTTTTTAAAATTATTTAATTAAATAAAAATATTATTGTTCACCCTCCTCTACTTTTATTTATTTAAACAAAATTAATATAAATTATTTTATTTCCTTTACTTCTCTTTTCCTTGCTTTTCCTCCCTTTTCTTCCTTTCTCTTTATTAATTTTTATCTAAACAAATGCTTAACGTATAAATCCTTTTGAGATGGAAGAATCACAACTCCTTGAGTAGGTCATGAAATGTCTTTCTCCAATCCAAAAGTCCATTTGACACAACAGATCCAACTTATAACTCGAGCGGACCCAAATGCAACCCAACTTTACCAACCCATTTTGTGGGGTCTAATTTGCGCGTTTAAGCGTACGCGTGACGGTCACTACTCTCCAATTTCTTCGTCACGCATGATTTGCTTTCCAGCAATTAGTCCCGTTAGCCATCGAAAAACTGCCACATAATTAATACACGTGTCATCTCATCATTAGCAAACCCACGAGTCGCTCGCGGTGCGGACTATATTGGATTATTCCAAAGGAACTGTAGGTTAAAAAACGAAACCTCTAATATTATCTAGAGCAGTGCTAGGGGCACTCGCTTTTTTGCACTCTCCGGCCAATATTTCCCCTTTTATTGGGCCACGTAAGTTTCTTCAACGCTTTCAGCGCAACTTCTGGGAAACCAAAATAACGTGGCCCAATAAAAGAGAGAGTGTTGGCCCGAGAGTGCAGGAGGCGAGTGCCCCTAGCAGTGCTCTAGTATCTAATATTAAGGTGTTAATTTACATTAATTATTTACATATAATTACCCGTTAGAATTTAATTGCACTTGGGTTTTCAACATAATGATGTCAAGTTATGTTTAAATTATATTTTTTTTTAGATAACGGTTTGAATTCGATACCTTATAAATTTGTTTAAAAAAATAATTAGAATTTAATTATTAATAATTATTATCAAATATTAATAA